ATTATAAATACATAAAAATGAATATTTATCACTTTGTATCCAAATTAAAGTTTTCATTACAATATTTAGTTAAGAATATATTTAATATAAGTTATTTTTAATTAGTGTTATAAAGATAACTGTTATCCGAATAAACTAAGATTTTCATTTATGAGTGATTACAATAGGAACTTATTGAAAATTGAAAATTGAGTGTACTTCATCAACAACTGTGTACTCAAACCATCTCAGGATTCGGGTATAACGACGTTCTTATTAGTTTATAATAATATATAGAATTGACTCTTAACTGTGATCAGTCTTACCTAAGATAACATTTTATGCAAATACAGTAATATTTATATAAATATTGGTTTTAATTTAATGTTTCTATACATATTGTAATATCATGGTTATGTAATATAAAAATGTTTACCCGACAATTGGTTTTTTGAAATTCACTCGCTTGGMAAATTCGTCAAATACTYTGGTAGTGGATGGTTGCGGCCGGAAGATGTATTTAAAGAACTGTCCTATCCACCATACAGCAGGATCGCCGTGCAAGACGTTTATTCGTTTAGCTAAGTCCTCAGGCAATACGACCGGAATGTAGGGCGGATTTAAATGCTTGGCAGCGTGTTCGGGTGTGGGTAAGTTGTAGTTTATTACTTGGATGGTTTCGTTGCCTATAATATTATGAAAGTGAATAGTAAATTCAACAAAATAGCTCATTACTCATTACGTTTGTGTTATTGTGGTATAAAATGGGCGATATCTACTTCATCAAAAATAGAATTTTCTAATTTTCTGACCAATATTCATTTTTCATGCACTTTTATAATATTTATAATATATATACATATTATAAATATTCATAATACTAGTATTAATAAACCGCGTTACAGAATCGGTGGATAGATGGTGCCACCGGGCCAACATAGGGCGATTTTGCCAACAAAGGGCGATTTTGCCAACAAAGGGCGATTTTTGCCAACAAAGGGCGATTTTACTGCCAACAAAGGGCGATTTTACTGCCAACAAAGGGCGATTTTACTCTACGACGCTGAAGAAACCCTCAGACTCTTYTACAAGATGGTAGAAAACATCCTTACCGTCAAGGAAGAGGAGGAGAGGGCTCGACAGRCCGCAGAAGCAGTTGGATAATAACAGCACGGGATTCGAAAGCGGCGGGCTTAGGCCGGYTTRTGAAGAKGATSGCAGAACGAGATGTCCAGGATGGCTGGCTCAGTCMGGTCCGAGAAGACGGGCAGAACGCGATGTCTAGGGTGGCGGACTGTCGGCCCGAGAAGATAATTGAAAGGGGA